AGGTAGCTCACTAGAAAATTCCTAGGCATTGACTGATGTGAGTGGTGTGTCTGATTGAAAATGTGCGCATCTGGGACGCTCCCCTAACGAACGACTATCAATTATTATTACATTATTATCAACGTCAATCAATGATTACGTGAAAAAACGAACGGCATCATATTGAACGTCGATCGAACTGCGTTGTATCACTATCATATTACTATCAAACGACTATCAACGATTATTTAAACTACTATCAATCAAATTATTATCAACTACTCTCGATGCGCGTTGAGAGGGTATAGGTCCGTCGGAGTCCGCCCCTGCCCGTCGCTATCCAGCATGTTCGCTATTTCTTTCACACGTACTTACCGCACCTGAATCATAGGTAGAGTTTCTCCTTCTTCTTCCCATCTTATCGTTGCATGCTCTCCCTCCCCATTGCATGTTTCTCTCCCCGTTCTTTTAAGCGTTGTCTCTTCTTCGAAGATCTTTTTTAAATTTTATTGTTTGGATAATAACATTATTGTTATTTAATATTGTCAGCGGGAAGGGTTCGCCTTCAATAAATACAAAAATATATGATTTAGGCGGATTATTTTGGATTATATTCATCCGATTTTTATTATTTAATAATAATATTGATAATAGTTAATATCAATATTATTTTTATAATAATAATAATAATAATAATAATGTCATAAGGAATGGTGGAAAAGGAAAAAATAATTTAATAAATTATTATATTTCTTCAATATTTATTTTTATATTTTATTAAAAGATTTTAAATTTAAAAAGAATAATATTTTTTCAATATACACTACTACTGATCTTAATTACAGAGCAGAAAAAAGAAATAAAAAGAATATATTAATATTGATATATTTTTATTTCTTCAAAATCTTACAATTTTTTCTGTCGTTGCGATTACCAGTTAAATATTTTAAATACATTCTGTAATGTGTAATGTTTCGAATGTTTTCCACATCGTAAAGTACGAGGGTCGATAAGTCAGATTAGATAAGTCAAATTTTTGCGACACAATGAACTGTGTAGAACATGGCCAGGAAGTAACATTATTCAAATTGTCTCATACCAAGTTTCAGTCAAAAGCGACACTTAGTTTACATGTGGCAGACGTTGGAAGTGAGCATGGCAGCAGTTGTCGTAAAAATAGAGAAAGACGAATTCCGTGCAGTAATTAAACATTTTTATTTAAAGAAGTGGACGGCTGCGCAGATTAAAGACGAATTGGACGAAGTTCACGAGGATTCTGCACCAGCATTGAAGACTGTTTATTTTTGGATTAATGAATTCAAAAGAGGCCGGAGATCAACTAAAGATGAAGGATGTCCCGGACGTCCAGTTGAAGTCACTACGCCAGAAATGATTAAAAAAATCCATCGTATCGTCATGGAAGATCGCCGAATGAAAGTGCGCGACATAGCTGAGATTGTAGGCATCTCAGTAGATAGGGTGCATAATATCCTGCACAAAGAATTAGAAATGAAAAAGCTTTATGTACGATGGATGCTGCGATTGCATCAATCAAAAACGCAAGCGAAAAAACATTTCGCAGCAGTGTTTGTCGCTTAAGCGCAAGACTTTTGATGTCGATTCGTGATCGTAAACGAGACTTGGATCCATCACTTTATACGCTAGTCAAAACAGAAGAGTCGAAGCAGTAGACAGCGCCTGGTGAATGTGCGCCGAAGAAGGTGAAGACTGTTTTGTCGGCTGGGAAGATAATGGCCAATGTTTTTTGGGATTCTCAAGGAATCATCTTCATTGACTACTTACAGAAGGCTCACAAGAGCATATTATTCTACACTTCTGAATCGTTTGTATTGTATCGCAAATGTTGAGCTGCAAATGAAACGGCCGAAATTAGCGCGCAAAAAAGTCATCTTTCATCATAACAATGCTCCGGCTCACATCTCCACAGTCGCAATGGCAAAATTGCATGAATTAAGATTCGAATTGCTGTCCCATCCACCTTATTCTCTTGATTTGGCCCCTTGTAACTTCTTTCTATTCCCAAACCTCAAGATCTGGCTCGGGGGAAAGAAATTTTCATCCGATGAGGAAGTCATCACTGCTGTGGATGCGTATTTTGAAGGCCTCGAAACTTCCTACTTTTCCGAAGAGATAAAAAAATTAGAACACCGCTAGACTAAGTGTGTACAGCTCCAAAGAGACGTCGAAAAGTGAAAAAGAATTTTCCGGAAAATAGGTGATTTTATTGCTTTTTTACCTGACTTATCGAACGACCCTCGTATTATTAATATTAGGTAAGTGTACAAAAAAGTTCTGAACTTTTTTTTTGTAAAATTCAATGTTTATTCAAAAACAAAAAAATATTAATCAGCGAAATATTCCCCATTTGCATCAACGACCTTTTGCCATCTTTCGGGTAGCTTGCGAATTCCTTGACGATAGAAGCTCACCGGCTTCGAAGCGATAAAGTCATGCATTTTCGTATCTCTTCAAATCTCACGAAATGTGTATCAGCCAAATGATGTTGCAGCGAACGGAATAGGTAATAATCGGAAGGCGCCATGTCTGGGCTATACGCCGCGTGCAGGAGAAGTTCCCAGCCTAACGCAAAGATATGGTCCTGAGTCGCTTTCGCAACATGTGATCGAGCATTGTCAGTGTTGAAGCAAAATCACTTTACGACGTCCTTGACCAGTAAATGGCCTCTTTTCTTCTAATGCATCGCTCAAATTGGTCAATTGTTGTTGGTAGCGGTCTGCCGTGATTGTTTCACCCGGTTGTAACAACTCGTAATACAACACACCTTTCCAATCCCACCAGATACAAAACCTTCTTGGCGTGGATATTGGGCCTTGGCGTCGATGTCGAAGGTTGATCAGGGTCAATCCATGATTTTCTACGTTTAGGGTTATTATAAAGAATCCACTTTTCATCGCCTGTAATGATTTTCTGCAGAAAATTTTTTTTCCGGAACTTTGAAAGCAAAGTGAGTGCAATGTCACGCCGACGATTTTTGTTGTCTTCGGACAATTCATGCGGAACTCATCTGCCTTCCTTCTGAACCTTTCCCATTGTATGTAAACGTACGGAAATGGTTTGTTGCGTAACGCCAAGCTGTTCTGCAAGCTTCTTTTCAATTTGCGCAGAGTTTATATCCAGCAGTGCTTGCAATTCGTTCGTTTCAATCTTTTGAGGGCGTCCAGCACGCGGTTCATCTTCAAGACTGAAATCTCCTTGGCGAAATTTTTGATACCATCTTTTACATGTAGTATGATTTACAGCGTTCTCTCCATATGCAGCACAAATCATTGCAGTGGCTTCAGCAGCATTTTTCTTCAGATGAAACGCGAAGTGAATGGAAAATCGAATATGCTCTTTTGTTATTGCCATCGTGAACACTACTGATTTTTGAGGTTATGTGCATCAAACCGTATAGCATTTTAGAAGACCAAATATCAACGCTTTAAAACCGCAAAAGGG